TCAACATATAACCGCATGGTTTATGTTCCTGATACGTGCCCTTGATACCATTATTTGAATTTACAGTTATACACTCAAAATCTCCATAAACAACAAATGGACATTTTAATTTTGTATTGTATTTTTCAAATTCAATATAACTACCTTCTTTTGGTAATTTAAAATGTTGTCCATGTGTTGCCATACAACCAGTTTCATAATGTTTTGTTAATAAATCCTTTCTAGTAAAGGCATGAGAACAATAATGACAATAATGTTTTGGTTGGTCATTTTTGTTTGTTTGCCAGTTCATTAGACGACTTAGATTTTTAATAACAACATAGTGATGGTTATTTTCTGTTTCAATTTTCAAAAGGCTTATTTGATGTTTAGCATCTCTTGTTTTAGTTCTGTAATCAATTATAATTTTCTTTTCATTCAAAGTATCATCAATTTCATAAACATTGATTGAAACTAACTTACTATTATTTTCTTCAAACCTTTCAATATCCTTATTACCAGTTGGAAATTTAACACCTTCCCAGTTTAAGATATTGTCGTTTAATTTGTTGTAATGAAAAGTATGTTCTGGGTGACTTTTACTAATCTTATCAAATACTACTGATTGAATACAATATTTGAAACATTTATTATCTCTATTTTGAATATTGATACATGCTTTCTTATGTTTAATCCAATCTGGTAAGTCAATATAACTACCTGCCCTAGTAGGGTCATATTTGTCATAATGTAATGTGATTGATAATATCTTTATAAATTTTAGATTAGATGCTGAACCTTCTAACTTTTCTATGTTCAATAAAATCTCTTTGATTGATTTTTCAATTGCTTCATCCAAATCGGTTTCATTATATATGTTTGACCTTGTAGCAGGTAAATTATAAAGTATCTCTGTATGTTTTATTACTCCATCATCATCATAATAATGATAAAATAAACCTTCTGCCCTTATATTCAGTTTCATAGCTCTATTAGTTTTCAAAAAGGTTAAAAGTCTATCTTTTTGGTGGTGTATCATTGATAGTGCCTTTTCACCTTGAAAATGTTTATTTACTAGTTTTATAGAATTAGCATAACTTTTGAATGCTGATTGTTGGTCTGTTATTCTGAATTTGTTTTTTATAGCGTATTTTGTCATGGCATTTTTCAATCTTTGTTTAAGGTATGTTGAGCGAATTGTTTTTGTAGCATGACTATTATATTCATTGGTGTTTGCTACTGATTTTAATTTCTTGTTCAAAACATTCGAGATAGGTTTTTCTTTGTTGTATCTAAATTTCCTACCATCTACAATTATTGATTTTAATTCCTTGTTTCCTCTTTTTGGTATTTCCGCTTTGTCATTATTTAGTAGATAATCTATAACATGTTTCATAATACTATACTATATAATTTAATATATGTTTATTTCTTTAAGTTAATTTAATATATGAATACTTAAAGACATATTACTATATATAAATAACTATGTTTTCAGAACTTGAGGCAATAAAAGAAACACCGCATTTCCTAGTTCTTGACTTTGTTTGTGACAATTATTTAATATCATTTAATGAAAGTAATGTTGTTTATAAACAGGGAATGTATGCTAGATATAAAAAGTGGTGTAGTAAGAATAACAGAGCATGTATAACCTTTGATAAGTTTGATGAAGAGATAATGAAGAATAATGAAGTTAAATGTTTTACTCATTTTGGGAAAGATTATTATACAAATCTTATTTATGACCCAGAATAAGCATACATATTTATAACATTTATTTGGTTAAATGTTATAATTATTTTTTCTACTTAAAATCTACTTAAAGAAATATTGACTTAATATATTAAGATAGAAATGGTTGAATTTACTAAAAAAGAGCAAGAAGAAATTATTAATGACTTTTTGAATAAAATACAAGTTAATGACATTATCAGTAGTTGTAAATGTAAACTAATAAATGAAAAAGCTGGACTAACTAAGTTAAATTTACCTATTCCAATTGTTAAAAACATTTGTGATTTTAATTATGTTGAATGCGAGAAATGTTTTTTATTAAGAAATGCAAAGCAAGTTTTACATAAAAGTAATTTACATTCAACATTGAGACAATGTATTTATGATAAATACAAATTGGAATTTGAAGAAAATACATTTCTAAATGATGACTCATCATTAAGAACATATTGTTTTATAAAGTTAAATACATTTCCTACATATGAAAAAGTGAGAAAATATATACTACAAGATAACGAAACATATATTTTAAATTTTATAATGATATTAAATATTACTACGAAAAATCATATGAAGTTAGTTATGGTGGCAAAACTGGAACAACAAGACCAATTGAAGAATTTAATAATAAAATGATATTTAAATTTATTGATGAGTATGATTTATCAAATAATAAAATTGAAAATGATTGCAAGGAAACATTTTTAAACTACATAAAACAAAGAAACCAAGAATTGAAAATCATAATTGATAAAATATGTGATTATATTAAGGATGAACAGAAGAACAATATAATAGGTAAATTAATATATGGTGATGTGATAAATGATATTAAAAGTGTTTTAGGAAACTGGGGCATAGATTTTTGCATTTATGATTTTGCTGATAGAAAATATCCATTTAAAAATAATAAACAGAACTTTAAACAAATACCAAAGATTACAAAGGAATATTTAAATACTAATGACTTTGATTAAAACCATACTATAATAATAACATGTAAAATCTTATATGTTATAATTATACTGTACTTATAGTTTGTAAAGATTGAAATATTTCATTTTTCCTTGATTTGGCTGACTCTTTCAAAGTGCGTTGTTTGAACTTGGTATGCTCTTTTGATTTTTTCGTGCTTTGGCTGTTTGTATTTTATTTTGTTTGATACTCTTCTGATATTTTTTGTTGGTATGTTGCTTTGTTTTTGTTGATGTGTGTTTTTGAGCTTGTGTTCTTTGATGGTTTTTATTTTTGCTGTTTTGTTGGTATGCTTGTTTGAATTATTTAATGTTTTATGCTTTGATTAAATATTTTGTTGGGGGCTGTTCTGGTTTTTGAGTTGCTTGGTGGTTCTTATCTTGCTTTCTGTGAATTGTGTGTATTTTGTTGTATGCTGTTTGATTATTTGGCTTTATTCTTTCAAGTGCCGTTTTATGTATTTTTCCCCCCCCCACGTATCAGACGTCGGGTGGGGGGGGGGTTAGGGGGGGGGGTTATCCTCTATCCTCTCTTAGGTGTCCGACACGCCGAGCAATGTCGGCGGATATCAAGAGGAAGCTCCAGCAATACAAAATGAGTTCCAGATCTCAAAAGGAAGCTCCAGCAATGCAAAATCAAATAGCAACTCCGTTCCAAATCGCAAAAAGCTCCAGCAATACTAAATCACATGGAAACTCAGTTCCAGATCTCAAAAGGAAGCTCCAATGCTAAATCAAATGGAAACTCCATTCCAAATCTCAAAAGGAAGCTCCAGCAATACTAAATCTTATGGAAACTCAGTTCCAGATCTCAAAAGGAAGCTCCAGCAATGCTAAGTCGAATGGAGCCACCCTTTGGCTGTATGCTTGCGTCAGGACATCAACTTTAAGGGCAACTGGTACATGTTGCGCTGAGTCGCAGTAGCCAGAGAACCACCGTTGAAGCAACATGTGAACTTGATCATCTAGGAGGCATGGTGAAACAGAACATACCCGAATTTGCAAAGTATTGTACATCATGCTTAATTGAGATGTTTCTTGTGTTGTTTGTAGATTGAAACAACTTTGGGCACATGGCCCAAAGGCACAGAGCTGTGGACAAATGCGGAATCACTCCCATCGCGCTGCTACAAAATCTGCGAAAGCTATCCTTCTCAATTTGTTGCGACAATATTTGTTCATTGAACTTATACCTTCTTGGACTCTACTATCGTGAAAGTAGAGTGACATTACATGAACATGCGGTGAACTGCGCATGGCGCACTGTTTCAAGCCATTAGAAGACCGGGTGTTGCCATGAAAGACCGTTTGTGATGTGTGCCGCGCAAAGCACACCGCACACACTAGAAGAAACAACTCGAAATGTCTAACTCCTGTTTTAAGGGATGTTGGTTCTTTGCATTGTCGCAGCGCCCTCCTAAACATCAGTTTGAGTTGTGGTGCACCAAGCCACCTGCTCGCTTCCAAAGGAAACCTGGTTTGGATGCCTTGCGGCTTAGTGATCGGCTCCAACACTAGGCAGCACGCAACGGAGCAGCCTTCTTAACTTGTGCAACACACAAATGTGTTTCTCACACAAAAATGAAAGGCTAATAACGCGGCTTTTGTTTTCCCTTGTGTTGTGTTGGCATTCAAGCCGTTTGGGCCAAGGTCAAATTATGTTTGATGATTTCTTCCATGCCAACATCAAAGGCATTGCGCAGCTGAGCTGAACCTGGAGGTTTGACATTGGGTGATAGCAAGGTCCGCGCCGCTGCTTGACTTGGCACTTGTATCTTTCAAGCAAGCCCTGCGCAGTGAACAACAACGTTGTTATTTCAATCAAGTTAAACACACCGCTAGCGAAATTGCAGGGCCGACAAAGCAGCGCATGGAAAAACGAAAACACCCAAACATGGAACTAACACCCCCAAAAAATGACAAAACACCCCAAAAATGAATGCAACACAGCACCACCCCAAAAACGAAGGGTGATTGGGGGTCCAGGTAGATGTCCTCTTCTCCTGTCAGGTGCCATGTTAGTTGGAGGGATGGCCTGTGCCCATTCAGGGGGGTTCTTCTCGCTGTTCTCGAGCCAGAGCCTTGAAAAGCATTCGCAAAACCACAAAGCAGTCTCAAAATAAGAATCGGAACCCCTAACAACGGGACCCCTTCTACCTCACACCAAAAAGCAATATATATATATATGTATATTTGAAACCACTGGTTTCCATTGGTTTCCGTTACCTTTCCTTTCCATGGGTTTCCCATGTTCGGTTCCCTTGCATGTGTTTTTGTTCGCTGGTTTTCGTTGCAGCTCGGAAGTCGGAGGAGCGCACAGAGGCCATGTGGGCCAAAGGCAAGCAGGCGGGCGTCGGACCTCTGTCTGGAGTGGTGGGGGGGGGCTTCCCTTGGTTCCCCCAACAAACGGACCCCAAAAAGGACATTAGCCCTTATGGCTGCGTGTGTGTTTGTTATTGTTTGTTGTTTGTATGCCTGTTTGTCCGTCTGTCCGTCCATTTGTTTGTTTGTTTGTTTGTTTGTTTGTTTATGTGTGTGTGTGTGTGTTGTTTTTTTCTTTGTTTGTCTGTTTGTTTGTTTCTTTGTTTGTTTTGTTTTGGTTTGTTTGTCTGTTTTTGTTCGTTTGTTTCATTTTTGCGGTTGCATGTTTGTTGGTTTTGTACTTTTGTTGCTTTGTGTGTTTGTCTATGTTGTTCTTCAAATTTTAAAACATGTTTCGTTGTTTGATTTGGTTGGGTTTGGTATGTTTGTTGTTTTGTGTTTGGTTTGTTGTTGTTTGTTTTGTGTTTGTTTGCATTGCTTTGTTTGTTTGTTTTTTGTTTGATTGTTTAACTTGCCTTGCCTTGCCTTGCCTTGCCTTGCCTTGCCTTGCCTTGCCTTGCCTTGCCTTGCCTTGCCTGCTTGCTTGCTTGCTTGCTTGCTTGCATGCTTGCTGATTGTTTGCTTGTGTGCTTGTTGGTTGGTTTGGTTTGGTTTGGTTTGGTTTGGTTTGGTTGTTTATTTGTTCGCTTGTTTGTTTTGGTCAGGGGGTGACATGTCTTCAGCTTGGTTCGCACTCTCCCATCCCACCCAACTTGGATTCTCGGGTTGCCGGGGCGTGCGACTTGACTGGGTTCGCCTCGTGAAGCTTTGCAGTCTGTGCGCATTGTCTCTTTAGCTGACTCATGATCACCTGCCGATCGGGCTTTCTTTTTCAATCCACGCAAATTTGGGGGATGTTTCCGATTGGCTCAGACGAGAGCGTGTGGGAAGGCTGCCAAAAAATGGCGTGAGCGTGTGAGCAATTACTCTTGTGTCTTTTAGGTTGGAAGGGAAGCCAAAGGGAAAGCCAAGACGTTCGGATTGTGGTTTTTCCTTCTGGTTTCTCTCGAAAACGCCCAACAAGCGGGGTACCCTCAAAAAAACACCAGCGAAACATGTCAAGGCTAACTACAGATATTGCATTGTGGCATCCTTTGATAGAAGTTTGGAAGCTGGGGAAGGAACTTTTTCCAAAGCAGCGACGCCTCGAATCTTGGTCAGATTGTTGTTTGTTTGACAGACGGGATCAAGCGCTAGCAAAAAGGTGCATGCATCGACCCGAATATTACTAACAAAATAGAACGCAGATGCTTCAGATGTTGAATGAAGAAACACCGTGTCAATATCACCAGAAGCGAAAACCAAACACGCGCTCGCGTGTACCAGATCCCCGCGAGTCATGAAGATTAAATGTCCTTTCATCTTGTTAACGTATTGGACTAAATCTCCCTATCTGAAAAAAACATCTCTACCAGCTCCACAGGCCTTTTCCTGAGCAAGGAAAAGGTTACGCTGGCATCAGGGTTAAAAACCAAAAGCCGAAGCGCCACATGTTTGTCAAGCACATTTCCTTTCGAACTCTTGCCTCCAAACAGGACACATGTGTTTTGGAAGGCCATTTCGTGAAGCTTCCGTGTGAAAAGGGTAATTCTCTCTTCAACTTGGAGGTCAGCCACGCGATGTTTTTTCTAGAGACGAATCCGTCGACCTGTTTGGCCGTACATCACGTGTACTGTATTTCCAGCTTCTTGGTCCGGAGAAAAGTTCTGGACGACTCCGAGCGGCTCAGAAGGCTGCGGCGCTCGACTCCGAAGCTCCGAAGCTCCGAAGCTCCGAAGCTCCGAAGATCGGATCTCAGGCCTTCAGCGCAGCGCAGCAGAGGCATCGGGAAGAGCTGCAGCAACTCGTGGAGGAGGCGGCGGGCCGGTAGCTTTTCGAGGAAGGGCCGGTTTTCGAGGCGACGCCGAAAAAGCGAAAAAAGCGCTTGGGAGTGGGGAGTTGAAGCCCAGTTTTTTTTGAAGCCAAGGGTACCCCCAACCTCCAAACCAATCCAAACCAGGGACCCGCGCCATTCAACTGGTTGAAGCCACGTTGAAAATTCCTCCCCACGCCAAGAATCCATTGCTTGTTGTTGTGTTTTGAGAAAAAGACGGGCTTTGCCTGAAATCCTTGACCACTCCCTTCAACGGCAGACTTCTTGATTTTTCTCTTGGCCTATGGGGGACCACTGCTTCTTCCAGGCAGATTATGTGGCATTTGATGTGCTGGGCAAAACGGGGCAAACATGGCATTGGCCTCGAATTTTCAGCTAGGTTTTCTCTTCGGCTAAGAGAAGGCCGAGACAAGGCGTTCAGTGTTCAACCAAGACTTGGCGGCTCGAAGGCCATCCAGGTCCTTAGTTTTTCCCAGCTTTCTAGCTTTTTGGCTTTGGTGCATGTTGCCAAGGGATGTGAGGACTGGACAACTTTTTGCCAACCAATGGTTTTTCCGAGTTAAACCACTTTAAAAGTTAAAACTTTTAGCAGGGGAGCAGAAAGCAACCGAGTTTAGTGCTAGGGATTTCGAGTTTCACCCAGATCAACTTTTGGCAGATCCGAAAATGGACAGCCCAGAAAAGGTACAGGGGTGCTTTCTCATTTGCTACACCCATGGCATCCAGCAGTCCCTCTGAGAAACTGGTCTATGGCACTATGTGGTGCCACCCCCCCCCCAACGCCGTTCAATACGCTATGTTGATTCCAGAGGCCTTTGGGGTATGCTTTCTAAGGTCGAGCATATGCGGATGGCGTATGTTTTATTTGCGTAGTAATCCGTAATACGAACTTGCGGTGCTACTTGGATTGCATGGGTTTCTTCGAGTTTGTCGATCCGTTTGTTGACAGCTGATGCCCTGCTCCGTGCACCCTGCAAGAGAAGCGGCGAAGCCGTAGCATACCAGGGCAAACAACACAAACATTAAAAGAGCGGTTGACCAATTTGGATGACAATCCGTAGGGAAACGAGGGTGGTTACATCAACTCCCATTTTTGCAAGTGTCGTTCGATCCCCAGGGATATTGTACGTGAGCGGTGGCTGACAGCCCGAAACATCAGCTGAGAAGGTAGGATCTCTTTGATCACAGCTGCTTCCATTTGCTGAAATGAATATTGTTTGTATGTTCCCTTGTTGTGTTTAAAAAGGGCATCTATGACTACTGGACATGTATACTGTTATCTTTAGTGGGCTTAAGCGAATGGAAGGTTGCCAAATTTCAACTGCAATTTCCCAGATGTGAACACAGCCGGCCATGATGCTCGGTAAATAAACATTGCAATGCGGGCAAGCAACAAACATGTGCTAAGACATCGTCATGAACACAGCAGGTTTACTGAACATGTTTATGTAATCACACATACTGGCTTGATTCATGTACGTACATCCAACATATATGCTTAATAGCTCACATAAGCATTGGTGTCCTTTTTGGGTTAGTTGGGTCAGAAATGGATGGCACGGCTTCAGTAGGTTTGATTCCATTTGCCAAGGCTATTTATTGGTTTACCAAAAGGACACCTACGCTTATAAGCGTTGCCCTTTTTCGAGCTGACAAGCCCATATTTTGAATGCTCACGAAAATCAGTTTTACATGCGCCACGTGGTCGCATTCACAACAACCTCGGACTAGATCCGTTTGCAACACCAAGCATATCAAATAGTCTCACCCAGATTGCCGGGTCCGCCTGACACTTCAAAGGCCTTTCGATGGGTGAGGCTAGGTCCCCCAGTAGTGCCCTTTTTCTTTTTTTTTTGGGGAGGGTTCCTGTACTAAAAAAAGACTACACAAAAAAAACGGGTACCCTTATTGTAACCTCTCCACTGGAGGACCTGCCGCAGTACCAAGCAATGTTCTTCCATGCATTTTGAGATACGCCAATATTGCCCTGCGATCTTAACACAGGCCTCTTGAATCAATATAATATATCGTATAATGTATGTATATACATATATATATATATATTGGTACCCCCCCCACCATGCACCCTGGTTTGGTGCTATTTAGGTATATATCTGTATATGTATATATAATGCGGCTTAAAAGGCATATGGTAGCGACAAGGCCTCGTCAAGTTCGCTTCTTGTTGAGGTTCGGCTTGGGTTCCTTTTGGGGATCTCATGTGACAAAGCACGGGGTTTCGGATGGCTACAGTCCACTTGGCAAGTCTGGCAGGGGCCAGGTTCAAGCTCAAAAAAAAGAGGGCAAGACTCGCCTGGTTTGTCCCGCGGCAGAGGATGTTTTCTATTGTAAAGTTGGCTTCTTCAAGCATTCCTGCCAGCATGTTCTTTTCGGACGTGGGTTTGCTTAGCTTCTGAGCAACAAATCTAACCCTTTCAGGATGTTGGGTCAAATTGATGTCTTCTTTTTTTCGGTCATTGTACGGCTACGGGGAACAGTTCCCGTTCCCATAGCCATTTGACTTTTAGACAAGTTCCAGAGTTCTTTGGTTACTGCTTGAAGCACCGCGTCTAAAAGTTGTTTTCCAAAGGACCAGTCTTTCATGGATTCGAAAGGGATTGTCCATTGCACCCTTCGCCCTGGGATACTAGAGCGCTGGGCCCGCTTCCTGCCGGGACCCCTTCGCCGTTTTTGAGTGGCCACCTCGGGAGATGGAAGCACTGGGGTTGTCCACCTTGATCCACACGTTGTGTTGGCAATCGGCAGGTGTCTCAGTGCCACCAGAGGCAGGACAGCCTCGCGGCGGAGAACCTGCGCCTGCGGGAGGACCGCGGCGACCATTTTTTTTGGCTGGGGATGGCGATCGACCGTGCTGAAGGTTAAGTTGCTCAGCGGGCGGTTTGGCTGATGTTGGGGAAAGTAGAGCAAAATAAGTGTTTTCAACCTTTGCGAGTGGGCCGACATGTCATGGAGGAACGAAGTACTCCGCAGTTGGCCGCAGAAACGCCGAACAAGACGACACGACCCCGATAGGGGACACTTAAATTGGCACCGCTCAATCAGATCTGGGGCCATCAGAATCCGACACATATCCTTCGGCGACGGTTGCGGAATGCGTCGCAGTCTGCCGGACTTCGGTTGACAGCCGTCTCTCAACTCCCCGGTTTTTGAACCTCCAGTGGGCGTTTCACTGGAAGCTCGTCATACGTAAGTTCGTCAAGGGGGAATTCCAGGGACCCCTGTTGGCTTCATGCTGGTCGTAAGCCTTGACACTTCCAAGACCCCTTCGAGGAATCTGAACGGCAACGCCAGACGTCCTGCAGAAGCTGAGGAATCATTTAGTGCCGAAGGGCTTTGGTAGATTAGGCCTCGGTTGAGGCCGGTTGATTAGGCCTCGGTCGAGTAACTGAAGTGGGGATTGCTTGAGGAAATGCCACCCCCTTATTCATCCGCGGATTTGATGAGTAGATCCGTCATGGGTAGAATTGGCGTACACCGCCTACCCTCCAAGGAACGTATTCGCCTACCCTCCAAGCAACGTATTTTCTTTTGGCGAATGGTTGAAACTAAATCGGCTGGACAGGGGCGCTAACCACAGACAAGTTGTCACAAAGGAAGCGCATACGACGAGGCTTCGACAAGTCGAAGGCCATTTTGGGCCAAGGGTTTGCCTTTTTACCACTTGCCGGTGTGTGGGGGAAGGAAATGGCGCCCAGGAAGCATCCTTTCTGGTTTCCTTTGAGATCCCAGACGGTTCATTCCCAACTAATTTCTGTTGATGTTTTTACGGAGAATCGGCAAACAGCAAGGGATGAAGAGCACAAGCCAAGGAAAACACCTCGCCCCACCTCTTTGCCTGGATCTCTCACCCCCCCGTGTCTAGGTGTAACCTCAGGTCTGAGACGGCCCCAAACGCGTGTAACTACCGTTTGGTTCAACTCTCGTCAGGCCCTACGGGTCATCACCAAGAAGTGCTCGCTGGCCTTTCCCGCCCGGCTCTCGAGAAGCTTTGCACGGAACCTGACCTCAGTTCTTCAGTGGTCACCAAATTATTATTTTCCTCTTTTTCCCCCTTTTTTTTTGAGGTGGCACCAATTCTTTTTCCCACTTGTTTAGGTGGCTTTTTCCCACCCAAAATCCGGACACTTCCCCCAAAAAGGGTTGGCGGAGGCGGGGGCCCATGGACCGATTCCGTCGAGTTTGTGACTTGGGAGCCCCAGCAATCGAGCGCAGGGGAACCGAGTGCGCCTCGCCCGCCATCGGCTTTGGAACGGAAAGGGTAACTCGGCAAACTTTTTCACGAACGGCGGTTCCCGGCCCATGTTGTTGTTTCTTTCTTTTTGGGGGGGGTCCATTTATTTTTCTGTCTTCGCGGGGTCCATTTATGTCTCTTTTTTTTGGTGGCGGGGGGGGGGGCGTTTGCATTCCCACTAAGCGTCTTCAACTTTTAGAGGGGATCTGAAATCGGAGTTTGGAGGTGCAACATCTTTGGTGTGCAAGTGCTTTGCCGGCTGTAAGGGCAAAGAGTCACTTGCAATGGGCCATGGGGCCATGTATTTTCCCAAAAACGACACCTACTCACTAGCTAGAGCCATGGGTGTCCTTGCTGGCTGTTTTGCTAGAAAAATAGATGGATCTCGCTTCCTGGTTTACCTGGTGGTTTAATCAACCAGGGAAACCCATCTATTTCCCCTAGACGGACACCTATGGCTAAAGCTCCTTCCTTTGAGCTTTCGGCTCAGGATGAGCCGTCGCCATCCACCTTTGCCGGGGCGCTGGAGTTAAAGGCAGAGACTACGATTTCTTCTGCCTTTGTTTTGTCTGTTGGATGTTTCTTGGTTGTGTTTCCCCGTTGATGCTTGTGTCTGTCGAGTATGTTGGTGTGTTTTGTTTGATTTGTGTGTGTGTTTCCGCTTTGATGTGCGATGATGTTTAGCATGTGTTGTGTTTGTTGACTGGATGTTTGTTTGTTTGTTTGTTTGTTTGTTTTTTTTGTCCTTCATTTTGTGCTGTGTTTCCTGTTGATGTTTGTGCGGTATGAGGTATGTTTTTTTTTTTGTGGGTGTGTGTTATTGTGGTTTTACCGTTTGTTTGTTCCATGCGTGTTGTGCTTCTCAACTGAAGCTTGTTTGTCTTAATGAGTGCGTGTGTGTGTGTTGTTTCTGTGCGTGTGTGTGTGTGTGTGTGTGTGTGTGTGTGTGCGTGCGTGCGTGCGTGCGTGCGTGCGTGTGTGTGTGTGTGTGTGTCTGTGTCTGTGTCTGTGTGTGTGTCTGTGTCTGTGTCTGTGTCTGTGTCTGTGTCTGTGTCTGTGTCTGTGTCTGTGTCAGAGTCAGAGTCAGAGTGAGAGTGAGAGTGAGGCAGGGATCGAGGGAGGGAGGGAGTGAGTGAGTGTGTGTGTGTGTGAGTGTATGCGTGTGCGTGTGCATGTCAATGTGCGTGCCGGCGGTATGTTTTTTTTTTTGTGGGTGTGTGTTATTGTGGTTTTACCGTTTGTTTGTTCCATGCGTGTTGTGCTTCTCAACTGAAGCTTGTTTGTCTTAATGAGTGCGTGTGTTTGTGTGTGTTGTTTCTGTGCGTGTGTGTGTGTGTGTGCGTGTGTGTGTGTGTGTGTGTGTGTGTGCGTGTGTGTGTGTGTGTGTGTGTGTGTGTGTGTGTGTGTGTGTGTGTGTGTGTGTGTGTGTGTGTGTGTGTGTGTGTGTGTCTGTGTCTGTGTCTGTGTCTGTGTCTGTGTCTGTGTCTGTGTCTGTGTCTGTGTCTGTGTCAGAGTCAGAGTCAGAGTGAGAGTGAGAGTGAGGCAGGGATCGAGGGAGGGAGGGAGTGAGTGAGTGTGTGTGTGTGAGTGTATGCGTGTGCGTGTGCATGTCAATGTGCGTGTGCCTTTGTGTGTGTGTGTTGTGTTGTTTTGTTTGACGATTTGTTTCTTTGTTTCTTTGTGTGTTGTGTTGTCCCGTTGATGTTGGTGCTTGTTGGGAGTGTTTGTTGTTTCTTTGCGGATTTGCGGTTGTTTGCGTCTTTTTATGTTTTGTTTCCCCGTGGATTATGTTTTTGTGTTTGCTGTTTTGTTTCAGAGCAATCCAGCTCCCAAAATAAGAGGGGCGCCCCGTTTCCGTCCACTGGACGGTTGGGACAACGCACTGTACGTCCTTGAACCACTATCCAAAACCTCCCCCCCCCACCCCAGATAAAAATTAATGAATGAATGGAATGGAATGGGATGGGATGGAATGGAATGGAAGGGAAGGGAAGTGAAGGGAAGGGAAGGGAATGAATGAATGAATGAATGAATGAATCAATGCACGAACGAACGAACAAACGAATGAACTGAATGAATCAATAAATCAATGAATCAATGAACCAATGAGTCAATGAATCAATGGACCCATGCACCAATGAACCAATGAACCAATGAACCAATGAACCAATGAACTAATGAACCAATGAGCCAATGAACCAATGAATCAATGAATCAATGAATCAATAAGTCAATGAGTCAATGAGTCAATGAGTCAATGAGTCAATGAGTCAATGAGTCAATGAGTCAATGAGTCAATGAGTCAATGAGTCAATGAGTCAATGAATCAATGAACCAATGCACGAACGAACGAACAAACGAATGAACGGAATGAATCAATGAATCAATGAATCAATGAATCAATGAATCAATGAATCAATGAATCAATGAATCAATGAACCAATGAACCAATGAACCAATGAACCAATGAATCAATGAATCAATGAATCAACGAGTCAACGAGTCAACGAGTCAACGAGTCAACGAGTCAATGAGTCAATGAGTCAATGAATCAATGAATCAATGAATCAATGAATCAATGAATCAATGAATCAATGAATCAATGAATCAATAAATCAATGAATGAATGAATGAATGAATGAATGAATGAATGAATGAATGAATGAATGAATGAATGAATGAATGAATGAATGAGTCAATGAATCAATGAATCAATGAATCAATGAATCAATGAACCAATGAACCAATGAACCAATGAACCAATGAATCAATGAATCAATGAATCAACGAGTCAACGAGTCAACGAGTCAACGAGTCAATGAGTCAATGAGTCAATGAGTCAATGAGTCAATGAATCAATGAATCAATGAATCAATGAGTCAATGAATCAATGAATCAATGAATCAATAAATCAATGAATGAATGAATGAATGAATGAATGAATGAATGAATGAATGAATGAATGAATGAATGAATCAATGAATCAATGAATCAATGAATCAATGAATCAATGAATCAATGAATCAATGAATCAATCAATGAATCAATGAATCAATGAATGAATGAATGAATGAATGAATGAATGAATGCATGAATGAATGAATGCATGAATTAATGAATGAATGAATGAATGAATGAATGAATGAATGAATGAATGAATGAATGAATGATTAACGGAACGGAATGGAACGGAACGCAATGGAACGGAATGGAGCGTAACGGAACGGATTGCAAAAGAAGGGAGCGGAACGGAATGGAATGAAAAAGAATAGAATGAGTTCGAATGCATGGATGGATGAAATAAAGAAAACACGAACCGAACCAACCCCCCTCCCCAAACTCCGAAACGCCCAACCCCCAAAGTTAGAACAGGCCACTCAATCTCCAAGGCGGGATCTGTGCCAGCCCTGTCCTCAGTATTGCGAGCTCACCAATTCGGGGGATTCCGATTTTCAGCTGACCGTGTCACACGGACGAGGCTCAGCGAAAGGAAAGGCATTTCGTTAACGTTCTTTTTCTCAGGTGTTGGGCATATTGTAAAGAATGCAGATCACAAGACTAACAGAAGATAAGATAATCCCGTGTAATTCTTCTTGGTCTTTTTCGCAATTCTGATGGGGAATGAGCTCCCATGTGCTTGGCAGACATAAATCCACATGTCCACCAAAGGGTCCAGAATCAATTTGATACCCGGGGACGCAGAGGCTTTCGAGGTGTCGCTTGTGTTGGGTTTTTTGAGACGGATCGACGGATCCAGAATTTGAAACCAAGAGGATGTTGGATATGCACCTGGCGATGGAACAAGGTGCTCAATGTTTACAGTAGTTCCCGTTGATGATCAAAACCGATGACTCTTTATGACTGAAAAACCCGTGACGCATGGCAGATAGGCATAGCGTTTGGCCCCCTTGTTTTTCTCTGCAAGCCCTGAACAACGCTGATTTGGCTTCCTTGTGGAAGAACAGCGCTTGGGGTGAGATTGAGAAAAACCGAAGCTCGTTTTCAGGCATGAAACGCTGCTTCTGCGAAGAGGCTCAAGTCGGTGGTTTGAGATATACACATTGATCCTAGAGCTGGCTTCGCGTGCGAACGCCATGTTCAAGCTCCTTGGTGCATTGCTGCTTGCTGCCGACGCCACGCGCGTAGAGCACCTTGACCAGCTCAACGGCACAGATGTGACCGGGAGCTGCCCTTCGACTGCTCACCCCACTACTGGGCGTTGGATCGCCTATGGCCGGGGGGTCTTCGGGCACCACTGGCAGTAACTTGGTGGTTCAACCAAGCCATCTGGTTCTTTAGCCTTTGAGGTTTTAGTTGGTTTCGTGGTTGGGTTGCATGGAACCCGCTAAAAGCGTTCAGCTTTTCGCAGGGGATCTGAAAGCGGAGAGCCCAGGTACATGAACTGCGAGAAGTGCAACACAGTCGCGGGCCCCGGCGTCAAAGCCTGCGGGAGCCGCGGCACCAAGGCGGGTGGCGGCTACACCTATGGCGATGAAGGGCAATGCAGGAATGCGGGTGGTTGCTTCGTTGCATGTTGCCAAGGGATGTTAGGACTTTACCTTTTTGCCAACCAAAAGTTATTCATTAAAACCACTAAGAGCTTAACACCTTTTGGGTTTCCGTATTAAACCACTAAAAGTTATTCACGTTTAGCAGAGCAGAAAGCCGGCAACCGAGGTTGCCTGTGCACGGAGAAGCGACAAGCCGGCAACGCCAACTCAGGATTCACCATGGTGACTCAGTTGTTTAGTGGCACCGATCCTTTTTTCCGTCTTTTTTTGGGTGGCTGCCCCACCCAAAAAGGCTTTTGTTTAATTTTCCAGGGTCACTGAACAACTGAGGTGAAATCTTGCCACACCAGTACCTTCAAATCCTGGATGAAGTGCTGCGACTCCACCTACAGCAAGTGCTGTTCGGGCACGGACTGCGACCTGGAATGTCCCGCGGGGGGCTGGCGGTGAAGTGGCATTCTGAATTGGAAGCCTGCGGAAAAATCTTTCACTCCGTTTCCGCCAGAGAGCCACTGTGTTCTTGTGGTGCTTTCTGCACAGAGATTCAGACAAAGGATCCGCCGGGCCCAGTTTGGTCCGAGATCTGCTCGAAACGCCGAGGACTCCGGCTATGGAGCCTTTACGCCTTCGCCCTTTACGCTGCTTGGATTTGACTCGGGCGAGAGGTCGGTCAGTTCTATCAGCTTGATTGGAAGGTTTTTGAGGGGCGGGAAGCCTTTCCCACCGACCTCCAACTAGTCCAAAACTTGGAGGGAGCTGCTGCAGCTTTGTGAAGCCTGATTTCATGGGTCAAGATTCGTCACCAGGATGTGGACCGCAGGTTTTAGTCAACTTCTTTCCATACACCCTGTTCTAGTGGGTCTTGACCCACTCCCATGTCCAGGAGTCATAAGGCTGCCGTGGCTTTCGTTTGAAACACCCGAGCCAATTGGGATGGGTACAACGAGGCCTGCGACAGACTATGGCTACAACGAGGCGATGGACTCTGTCGCACGAAAGCTCCCACACTTTTTGTGGACCAAAATCAGGCGCAGAACCATATTTTTGTGTTTTGAAGTTTGGGCTGAGAGACTTGTTCATTTGAAGTTCTATTCGAAAAGCTATCAATTTGAAAGCTTTTGCTTCGCTCACAAATGCTGGGCTCATGAACGTCACATCCTTGAAGCTAGTCGGTTTAAGTGAAGCTACGCCTGAAAGTAAGTTCATCCGCACGCGCACACACACAAACACACGCACACAGACACACGCACACACCCATCCAGCCACCCACACACACACACACAACACAACACACCACACCACACCACACCGCACCAGACCAGACCACACCACACCACCCCACACCAGACACCAGACACCAGACACCAGACATCACACACCACACAACACACAGCACAACACACAACACAAGACACAACACCACACCATACCACACCCAACATAACACGCACACACACACACAACACACACAACACACACAGCACACACACACACACGCACTCACGCACGCACGCACGCACGCACGCACGCACGCACGCACGCACGCACACCGCCCACACACGCGCGCACGCGCACCGTGCGAGCGCCATCGCGCGCGCCCGCGCCCGCGTACGCGTACGCGCACACGCCCACGCACAGGCACACGCGCACGCACACCCACACACATACGCACGCGCGCACAAACGCACACACGCACACAACACGCACCCACACACGCACAAACGCACACACGCGCATACACACGCGCACACACACACACACACACCCAGGAACACGCTCACGCACGCACGCGCACGCACGCACGCATGCACACCACCCACACACGCGCGCACGCGCACGCGCACCGTGCGAGCGCCAGCGCGCGCTCGCACGCGTACGCGCACACGCACACTCACAGGCACACGCGCACGCATACGCACACGCATACACACGCACACACGCACACACGCGCACACACACACACACACACAACACACACAACACACACACAACACACACACAACACACACACACACTCACACTCACACTCAAACTCACACCACATGCAACGCACACACAACACACAAACACACACACACACACACACGCACACACACACACACACACACACACACACACGCACAGCACACGCACACACACACACACACACACCCACACCCACACCCACACCCACACCCACACCCACACCCACACCACCCACCACCCACCCACCCACCCACCACGCACGCACGCACGCACGCGCACGCACGCACGCACGCACGCACGCACGCACGCACGCACGCACGCACGCACGCACGCACGCACGCACGCACGCACGCACGCACGCACGCACGCACGCACGCACGCACGCACGCACGCACGCACACACGCACGCACGCACGCACGCACGCAGCGCGCGCGCGCGCGCGCGACACACACACACACACAACGCACAACACGCAGACAGCACACACACACACACAAGACACACACACACAGCACATACAACGAACAGGCATGCACGCACGCACACACACCACACACACACAGCACCCACAGCCAATTTATTCAGTGTACGGGGCTGGGTCCACCGGTTTTGTACAACGCCACCAGCATTCCTCACATGACCCCTGAGTGCCATTGCTCATAGCTTTAGCCAAAAGGAGCTGGGACATATTGGTATTTTCTAGACCTAGTCATAAATGCAGCTCCCAGCGACCCAGTGGTGTTTGCTTCCTGCACATGCCGCGTTTCTGTTGCAGCTCGGCTTGTCCTTTGTTGCCTGCCAGTTACAGGCCCGCTTATCACCTGTGACGCCTTGGGAGCACAAAGGTGCCGGGAGAGGGCCCGTTTTTTTGCGCCCAGATACCTGGCAGGGACTTTGAAGAGTGGCCCTGCTGGGCTAGGGCCATCCTAGGCTCCACTTGTGGTGAGAGGGCCTTCGGTTGTGTTGAAAAGGGTCGAATGGGCCATATCCCTGCCAGGAGCCTCAAAAACCCCGACAAATGTCACGCCCAGAAAATTGTTCGGTTGTTGCGCAGGCACGACAACATTTACAGGTGTTGGAAACCCCGGTACTCCCTAATCTCACCCACGGGGATCGGTGGATTGTTTTCTCCCCTGCGCTTCGAGAGGTCTTTCTGCCGGAGGCTCCGGCACTCGGTGCCGAGAAACGCGTTCGTGCCAGCAGAGCGGTCCGAGCGGTCCGAGCGGTCCGAGCGGTATTAGGGTGAAAGAAGCCAACGGCAAGGTGGACCCTGTGTGGCGAATCATAACATGTCGGCGAATTGAGCAAAGAATTCCCTGGCCAGGTTTGAAGGGAACACACCTTCTCCTGAATGCTCTTGAGCGGGGATTCCCTGGCCAGGTTTGATCCCCCCCAAAAAAACACCTTCTAGCCCCACTCGAAGGTGCCGCCCCTGCCCTTCGGAAAGCCAGGCTGGGACCAGCCTTGGAGATGGCTTCCTTCGGTTCCAAACAACTTTTTTCGCCCAGCTTCCAGAGCTGGGCCCGCAACTTGTGAAGCGCACATGTTGTTCATAGTTTGAAGTTCGCGCACAAACCACGCGGAAGCTTGGGGAAATCGCGGAATGTGTAGCAAGTCTCTGTGAGGCAAGGGGGAGAGCCTTCATGTCGAGGGAAGTCGTTGCAAGTCTTCACCTGGACATGCTCGAAATACCCTGAAGCAAGAAGAGGATGGAGATTGATGCTTTTATCCGAAGCTCTGGGCAGTTCCTTGGAGGAAGTCATATATTTCTGGATTGAGCGAATCCTTTCATCCAAGTGGAAAAACTCACTCCCAACAACTCCAGGTTTCACCACTGGACCTCAAGAGTGTTATGGCCCTAAAGTGCAGACCGAAGGTTGTAAACGAGCTTTGACTACACAGCAAACAAGGTCAAATTTTCAGATTTTTGGCTTTGAGGTGTGGTTGTGTGTGTGTGGCAAGGAGAATGATTGAACGAATGATCCAACCTCGAAGTCTGACCAGGAACCTTCACGCGAACGTGTTCCCAACTGTCACACGAAACCTAAACCACTTCAGGAGGATGGTTGAACCATTCAAGCGTTTTTCGTCCAAGGTGTCTTCGGATTTTGAACCTCGAGTTGTGCCCTTGCACTCCTCTTGTTTGAGGGGAAGGGGGGGTTCGTCAAGAAAAGATGAGCCGTTTCATGGACACCAGGGCTTTCCCTCTAAGATCGAGTACCAACAGCAAAATGGATGGCTCGTCTTTAGCTTGGACAACCCAAAATGGCGGTTTTCTCCTGGTGTCCCTTTACAACCACCCAGAACAAGCCATCCCAATGCTGTTGTTTGTTCAACTGAGTTGTTCAGTGGCACCCTTTCTCCCTTTTTCCGTCTTTTTTTGGTGGCTTCCCCACTAAAAGTCCTGTCTTCCACCAAAAAGGGTTCCCTTTTCTTCCAGGGTCAGTGAACAACTGAGTCAATCATGGAACTCCATTTGGACATCGCAGGCGTGCCAGGCTCGCCAGCTCCCTTGTCCCTGGCAGAGGCTGCAAGAGAATTGTCCAGTCTGCAGTTTTGGGGCGAGTCCTTGCTGCTTTGGTTAGCCAAGATATATTTTGCTGTTTTCATTACCCGCAGATTGTTTGCTTTTATTTGTTGCCCACAGTTTGTTGCTGTGTTTGTTCCCCACAGTATGTTGCTGTTTTTGCTACCCAGAGTCTTTTTGCAGTTCTTGTTGCCCGCAGTTAGTTTTGCTGTTTCGTTGCCCATCGTCTGTTTGCTGGTTTTGCTACTCACAGTTAGTTTTGCTGTTTTTGTTATACACAGTCTTTTTGTGTTTTTCGATACTCACAATTAGTTTTGCTGCTTTTGGTATTTTTACTGCTTTTGCTACTCACGATATTTTTGCTGTTTTTGTTTTTACTCACGGTCTTCCTTGCTTTCTCTGTTACCCACAGTTTTGTTTGGCTGTTTTTTTTCCCCACTGTCTTTTTCTGGTTCCGGTTACTCACTGTCTTCTTTAATGTTTTTGGCACTCAGAGTCTGTTCGCTGATTTTGTTACTCACGGACGTTTTGCTGTTTTGTCACTCACTGCCCCCGGTCTTTTTGCTGCTTCTGTTGCCCTCATTGTTTTTGCAGTTGTTTTTGTCTTTGTTGCTGTACTTTGTTACCCACAGTTTGTTGCTGCCGTTCTTTCTCAGAGTCTTTTTTGCGGTGCTTGTTTCTGCTGCTTTGTGTTTCACGTGTATTTTTATTTGTTTAATGCGCACGATATGTTTGCCGTTTTTGTTACTCATAGGTCTGTTTGCTGCTGTTTGTTACTAGCGGACGTTGTCCTTTCTTTTGTGTCACTCAATACCCACAGACTCACAGTATGTTTTGATGTTTTGATATCCGCAGTCTGTTGTGTGCTGTTGTCACTCTCGGGCTTTTTGTTGCAAAAGAAAGCCAGGGCGTGACTGGTTCGGGTGGGATCAGCACGGACGTAGAGACCTGAACTTTTCCAGCCCTTGAAGGTTGGGAAACCACCGCAACTCTCTGTGTGTGTTTATTTAATTCCCCAGCTGAAAGCTTTGGGGTCTCAGCCGAGATAGGCTCCGGGGTGGTCCGGGGCGGCCCTGAGGTAAGGTTCCACGAGGGTTCCACCAGGCTTCCACCAAGGGTTCCACCAAGGGTTCCACCAAGGTTCCACACAGTTCTGTGAGGGCTGCGGGGTGGTGCGAGCACTAAGAAGAGCAGGACATGCTGTTGGGGATATCACCGCTTATTGCTTGTTCCCAATGCTCACTTGCCCTTTGGTTTCCCTGTCAAACCCAAATGGTAGCCGACCACACCCATCTCAGTCCGTAGGCAATCGATTCCTTTCCGATAGATCCTCCAGCCAGCCCTTGGGGATGAGCTAAATGAAGTGAGCGCCCGCGAAACATCGTTGCCTCTGGTTTCACTCACAAGCACAACACCTCGCTAAACTTGAGGCGCACACACGAATGACATAGTAACTTCCATTTGCTAAGCCTCCTGGAACAAATAAACATATCTCCAGCAGTGATGGATTCCTTTAAAGCCAACAAGAGACAACAAATATTCTTAAGCAAATGGAAGGTAAGCAATTTCTCAGGCAGGCGCTGCTGCAACTTGTTCCATTCAACCCATCTTATTTGTTACGGTACAAACCGTTTAATGTGCTTGGGTACTCACAAATCACAAGATGACTTTCCAACTCGAAATCTCTTTAAGTTATTGTGGTTGTTGGACTCCATGCTAATCTGCAGTGCATTGTTTTTCAAGCGTACCCGGAAGCCCTGTTGAAAGGAATGCTCCTCACAGGATGTCAGGGACGCTCAAAAGGTTTACTGGAGGGAAAGTGTTGCCATCCGCATGGGACAACTGGCCACTCTTGTTGGGTTGGCCCTGCTTGCGGGAGATTTTGCGGGCGAAGGATGGCGGGACGGCAGGCGTTGGCGCCTCCGCAAATGCCGCAGCGCACTCCACTGTCACTGGCGCAGGGCAGCCTGGAGGGTTCTTGTTTCTGGGATCTCAGTTCCGCCCAGTGATTTCAGGGAGTGGTTCATGGGTTGGGTGGGTGGCTCCTGGCTGCTTGGTTTCTTGGTTTCTTGGCTTTTTGGCTCAGGGCTCCTTAAAAGATACATTTTGCAACCATTTGAAACATGTTGCTTTTCAACACCCAGATACGGTTGGAAACCACCATTTACAAGTTGCAATGTTCAGGTGTTTTTCATGCATCCCGATCCCTGTTGGCTTCTTGGTTGCTTGCTTCTTGCTTGCCTGCTCGGGTGCGGACTTTCAAATCATGGTCACGGCTTCCGTTCCACCCCGCCCATTTCTGGAGGCAAACTGTCCGTCTCTTGGGTGCGTTTTCTGGAGCCAACCATCGGGTGTGTCCTTTTTGGGGGCACCCCATGTTTGGTTGGGCAACCAAAAGGACCCCCCGCCATTTTGGGGGTACCTCAAAGAAAAGAGGAGCCTTTTGGAGTTTGATCTGGTTTTAATGAGACCCTTTTTTCAATCTGCCCTATGTGTCCAAATCTCCGAAGGGCCAATGTTTGGCAACGCCGGGTTCAAAGTGGAAGCCCTGAAATGCTTGTTTATGCAATACACATAGTAGATGTATATATATAATTATATATATATATTATAATCTATAATACATATACATATGATATATACATATATATATACACATATATGTACATATGTATATATACATATGTACGCATATATACATATACATATATACATGTATGTACGCATATATATATATATATATATATGTATACATATATATATATATATATATTGAGTTTGTGTGTGTATCTGTGCGTTCCAAATTCTAGGTCTCCCCTCCCCCCCCCCCCCCGCCCCGAGTGATTGTGGGGCTGGCGTTTCGGGAAGACTCAATATATCGAAGTTCTTTGTCAATGTGATAGTTGAGCCATCAAGGAATGCTACGATCAAGATGGATGGCTGAGACCAAAAAACACTCGTTCCGCACAAGGGCTTTTTTTTGCGGGGAAACCACTCACTTTTGCGCAAACATTCAAACAGGCCATCGGAGAGCCATGCGAAAGCGTGTCTCAACTCCAACTAGGTCCCCCAGCAGTGCCCTTTGACTCTTTTTGGGGCAACCCGGGGCAGGGTTGCCCCCCTTATGCTAAGGTCTGGAAGCCGGGGGTTTGTCCAAACCCAAACCGATCCCAGGGAATCCCTGGCCACAGCCGGAAGCTCAGACGGGAAGCGAGCAGGGCGAGGGCGACAGCTGCAGGATCCGTTCAGTGGGACCCTTCTCCAACAATTCCGCGGTTTCGCAAGAGTGGAGAGGAACTCGGTTGCTCAGTGGCACCTTGTTTTTCCTTTTTTGCTTTGTTTAGTGCCTGCCCCACTAAAAATGGCCCAAGCCCCAAGAAGGGTTCCCTTTTGTTTCCAGGGTCACTGAACAACTGGGAGGGAAAACTGGCTGGTGCCCAGCAGGGAATGACGAAAAAGTTTAACTCTTCCATTACCAGCTATGAAAACGGTCATGAGGGAAAGCCCCGTAGAGTTTGTGCAGCTCTGAACCTGTTTCAACCCGCAAGCTTCGAGTCTCGCTTTGAATCCGCAAGCTTCGAGTTACTGCAACATCTTCAATACGCCTGAACTATATAAGGACTTCCGGCAGAGACTGCGATTTCCAAGTGCGAACTCATTCGCTTGGGCAGGCCAAAGGCCCCGAATCCCCGAGACACGGCAATTGCTCAAGTACAGCACTCCGATTTGCGAGCAAGCCCCTTAACCACCCCCCTGTCCGACGAAAAACCAAAGCAACACATAGAGAAGAGCAAAGTAAGGGTCAGCGCAGCATGTTCCTTTTGCTTTGGCCCGTTCTTCCAACGTGATAACAACCAAAGTGGGACGCTGTGAGGCATCTTCGCCTTCAGCGTCTCAAACCGGTCAGGCGCTCAGAGACCTTGGACCAGCAGAAGAATCGGCATCCGCTACCCTTGCGGCACGAATGTCGACCTGTTAATCGACCCCACTTGACTAGTAGTTTAATAGGGGGTGGCCCTGTGTTTGGGAAACTATGCGACTCGGCTCGTTGTGGCATATGAGTCATGCCCGCATCGCGCAAATCAAAGCGGGCGAATCCCCCAAAGCCATGGGTGTGTCTCATGAGAGTGCCCGTTGTTTGGTGGTTTCAAAGGGAAACTGAGAAAACCGTTGTGCCATTTTTGGGGTGTCTTACAAAAAGACAAGCACATATGGTCCAAGTGCGTCGACCTGCCTTCTCCGCTGCTCGGCAGCAGCCAGGTCCGTGCGTCGAGAGCAGCATGGCCAGCAGTACCCGAGCGGTCAACGGGTGGGTTTCCAACGTACGGATGGTGTTCCTTTTCAGAGAAAGTTTCTCAGAAAGGAACCTCCATGTCCTGGCGCTGGAAACCAGGAAATTCACCTTTGGGGGAAATCCAGAGTCGGTTACCAATGCCAACCGTGTGCCAATTGCTGGCCAGTGGTTCCGACTTGGGCAAACGCACTTACAATGCACATGCCGCCGAGCGGGACCAAACGGGGGCTCAAATCTATCACTGGAGAAATTTGCTCATTTTGTCCAGGCAAAGCAAATGAAAGCAGCCAGTGAGTCCAAGTTGGCCTTTCGGCGCGATTTGTTGCTGGGCTTGAGCCGGCTTGATACATGGCACCCGAGGCAAAGACATGTTGTTTTTTTTTAAATGGAGTCGGGGACCCCTTCTTGGAAGGGTTTAAAGGGCAACCAAAGAAAACTATGAGGGGATCGATCCCAATTCTGAGAAGTACCCGCATGTGCGGCTTTTTCGGGGGGGGGGGGGGTGAGGACTTGCGAGAGACTCCCTTTGCCTACGGAGTCTCTGGTTGTGACGAATCATAACGACTTTCCGTCGGTCCAGCTTGTCCAACTTGCCGGGTGTGTGTATTTCGAGGGCAGCCGTTACTTTACGGGCTGTTTTGGCTTGGATGTCAGCTCAACAGCCCGTGAGGCTGAGTGAAGTCTGAAACTGCTGTTGGAGCTTTGGTTGCCGCCATAATGAGGAAAGGTTCCTTATGCTTAAACAAGCGGTTGCTTTTCTTGGTTACCTGTTATTCGGGTGTCGCTTGAACTGTTAAGCAGGCCGTGTGACATTCTGGCAAGCATTGAGACAGCAATCAAGGCACCACCTTCAGCGTCACTATCAACAAGGACGGGTGCTGGATCGCATGAAATTGCGAGGTATTGAACGATTTGTATGTCTGTTTACCAAGCTGCAGTGGAATTGGGATGACTTTGTGCAAACCGTCACGAGCTCAACAAACAGCAGCCTAGTTCATTTCACGAGTTATGTCAATACTCACGGACCTGCTTGCGGTTGCCAGGATGCTCATCTTCTTATATATTATTGGGGAGGCTAGACAACATAAGGATTCCGAAAAGTTGCCCCATGACCCCGGACCACAAGAGATTGGCGGAGGCAATGGGATGTTATTTGTGTTGCGTTGTGTTGAGCTGTGTTGTGTCGTATTGCGCTGCGGGCTGGCTGGTCGGTCGGTCGGTCGGTCGGTCGGTCGGTCGGTCGGTCGGTCGGTTGTCTATTGTATTTGTTCTTTCTGTTGTTCTTTCTGTTGTTCTTTCAGTCTTTCCGTCTTTCTGTTTTTTCTGCCATTCTGTCTTTCTGTCTTTCTTTGTTTCTTTCTTTCATGGTTTCTTTCAGTCTGTCTTTCATGTGTTCCTTATTTGTTTCCGTATTTGATTATGTCTTTCCTTCCTGCTTTTCTGTCTTTCTCTCCTTCGTTCCTTATTTCCTTCTTTCCGGCTTTTGTTGTTTCTTTATTTCCTGCATCAATTCATTCATTCATTCATTCGTTCGTTCATTCATTCATTAATTTATTCATTCATTCATTCATTCATTCATTCATTCATTCATTCATTTATTGTTCCATTCATTCATTCATTTATTCATTCATGAATCCATCGATTTGTTTATTGTGTCTTCCTTAATTTATTTCTTGCTTGCTTGCCTTTGTTCTTTTGTTTGTTTGTTTGTTTGTGTGGTTGGTTGGTTGTCTGCGTGTTTGTCTCGCCAGGATGCTGCACTAGGGCTGGACGTCTCACACGAGGAAGGTGGCAAGGCGCGCGCCTAACCGCGTGTGCTTTTTCATTGCTCAAGAGGTACACTGTACCTTTGGGTGCGAGGGGACCCCTCCAAATAGGTTTGGTTTTGGTGTCAAACCCCTTTCTCAGTTGTTCAGTGGCACCTTTTCCCCTTTTTTTGGGTGGCTGCCCCACTCAACATGGTCTTCCCCAAAAACATGTCCCCTTTTTTTGCAGGGTCACTGAACAACTGAGCTTTTGAACCAAGCCCAACAAATCCCATTTCTCGAACAAGGACAGCCCCGTTTCCTATCATGCCACCCAGGTTCTTCAAGTGGACGGGATACGCCAAGGCGCAGTGCAGGCCGGGGGACGGAAGCAAAATCCCGAAGCAACCGGTACAGAGGGAGTCCCCAAGTTGCTCGAGAAAATACTGTGGATGGACGAAATCCATTTCGCACCACTTGGAAACCATGGGAAACCATTGTTCGTTGGTATTTACAGGGGAATCATCATTCCAGGGTTTCTTAGAGTATGTTCTATTTTCTGTTGGTTTTTCCAGTGGACTTAGGGAAATGGTTTCTACAAGCATGGGAAGCCTGGCACAAAGGGCCTTAGATTTGAAAACAACTCCGCGTGTTTGTTTTTTTGACGACCATTCTTTCCAGGGATCCGAATCTTTCTAGAAAACCAACAACAAAACAACCTGGGGAAATGGCGATGGGTTCAAATGAAAAGAAGGATGGCTGAACAGAATGGACATGGAATCAGCGCCGACGTGACGTCTGCGAAAAGCTGACTTGAGCCCGGAATCAAAACCCGGATAGATGGTTCGGTTAGTAAGGGACGATCCCAGCCAGAAATAGCTGCGGATCTCCGCCTTCTTAGTTCTTGAAGCATGGTTCTGGGATTACGACCATTTTGGTACCGATCGGTTTTGATTGCGACTCAGGCCTGGAATCATCAATGCCTGGCGGCCGGGGATTCGGAGAAGGTCCGCGCCCAAAGGGGCCCCCGGGCCCCCGGGCCTCGAAAAAATCTACGGGGGGGGTTTCCATTGGCTGAAATGCATGTTTTTTTTTGTTATTTTCCCCTGTTGGGTTTAAGGGGAATCGATTTCACTACCTGCAAACCTTTTTTTTCCCCAGGGATCTTAAGCAAATGGAGGGCGGTTTTTTGGGGCGGAAAAGGGTGATGTCAGGTCCCCGGTGCCCTTTCTCACCCAACTTTTTTGGTTGGGAGGACTAAAATAGACAGAAACAAGTTGGTACCCCTTATTCTAACCTCTCTACTGGAGGAGCTAGGTGATGCTAGGGATTACGGTGAGTCTGGGATTGAAAAAAACAATGTGTGTGTGTGCATTTTTTCTTGGGCAGCTTCCCTCTGAAAAACAAGGTGTTCACATCAGACCGATGGTAAGTGGTGGAGTATTGGGTGAGGGCCGATTTCTGAATGGTAAGGGGTAAGGAATCCATTTTGGAGTGACCAACTTGACATGGGAAAATCAAACCAGCATCACAGACAGGGCCAAGCATGTCATGGTTTTTTGTTGGTTTTATTTGCCCCGGTTGGTTGGTTGGTTGGTTGGTTTGGTTGGTTGGTATCACCAGCATCACCCTCACTTGGACGCGGGGCTATTGGCTCGGTTTTGGTGGCACTTTGGACTTGGTGGGTTAAACCATTTTTTGTTCATAGCATTTTAACAAAAAGCTCAAAAAACAAACTGCGGGTGGGTTTTTTGCTGCTGCGGCCGGCTTCGATCTTAGGATCTTAGGCCCTGGGCTTCGTAAGGAAAACCTCCCAACTCCCCGGGTCTGAGTGAAGCTCTCGATCGGTTTTCCAGACGCCCAGGGCGAGCCAAAAAAAAGCCATCGAACACCGCCGGGCCCCGTTTTAACAGAGACACACACCTCCACCTGACTGGGGAGGTGAATTTGTTTGGTCGGCTGACATGACGTGTGGTTTCAGGTCATAAAGGCTGGGGACAAGATCGCGAGCTGCAACGGTGTCTCCGATCCTGCCAAGATGCTGGAGGCCTATCAAATATCCAGCGCTTTGCACAAAGCTGCACACAGACCCCTGCCAAGAATGGGCCCCGCCAATTTCGTGAAGATTCGCTGGATCAATTTTGGTTTGTGATAGCACTCGTAGGGATAAGCATGAATTGGTGGTGTTCCTCTTCTTTGGTGGCCGGCTGCTTTTCCCAAAGTGATCAGTCCTATCTGACATCTCACGTGGCAGGAATGCGCTTCCCAACAGACGCTGCACCTCACGGTCATGAGGGAGGCGCGCGGGAGACAAAAAAACACAAAAGCAACAGCGCAACACAGCGCGCGAGGGAGAAACAGCGCGTGCAGTGTTTTCTTTTTCGTGTCCAGATCTGGACAAAACCGGTCGCTGGGTTTCATCCCGAGCTCTGGGTATGGAAAACAAGAAGCGGTCCCTTTTCTCAGGGCCTCCGGAATCCAGTTGCAGACGGTACGCATGGCCTCTCAACCGGGTTTCAACTGGATCCCCTGAAATGCTATTGTTACTAAGGGCGGACGCTTCAGGAACACTGGCATGAGATGTGGCAATTGACACGCGGTTGACAGTTCTCCCTTTCCGTATTTCATGAACCAATGAGTTGGGTTTTATATTAAAACCCATTATATATATATATATATATATAAAAACCACGCATTGGGTTTTATATATATATATAGCGCTTGGGGGATGCGGCTGGAATTGTATCGCCATGTGAGACTCAGTCGACCGCCGCTCTCAGGCCTCGTCGCCTCAGTCAGACGCCCGGCGCCGGTGTTGGAACGCTGGCACCTCCTCCAAGACTATCTCTTCTTCACTGTTCTTGGCATGTTTTTTGTTTTTTTAGTTTGTTGGTTCTGTTCATTTTACTGGGGGTCTGCAAAAAAACAAGTTTTTTGCTACCATACCAAGAGTAGAGATGTCTTATTTGGTAGAGATGGGCGTGTCTCGTTTTACAGGCTGGGAAGCCAAAGCAAAACCGCCTCTTTGGGGGTGTTCCATGAAGTCGCACGACTGTTACCTTATACCACCACCTGGGGGTTCCATGAAACAAAACAGGCACCCAGATGTGAAGCAGACTCAGATTATTCTCTGTATACCCCAGATGTTGACCAAGTGGCTCCAGCTTTTTCTGGCCTGGCTCCTCCAGCGCCCTCAAGCCACCGAGAAGAGACACACAGGTTCCAGGCGTTGACCCCACCATCCCTCAAGCCAAGATGATTGATGCCTAATCCTGTGAACAGCATGGATTGCGCCCATGCACATGCGTTCTCAATGTCTCCACAGGGGTCTCAACCTTTCTTTGGACTTGCATATTCCCTACACATGTTTATGTATCTATAACATGATTGCATGCCCATTCGTGGTATGACAAGGGTATGTACTGATTCCCTGTTGAACAACGAAAAAGCTGGCACATGTTCGAGGTGCATTTAACTTGCTACAGATTTACAGACTTTACCACGCATCCGACTGGAGGGGTGCATAGGAGGGAAATCCTGGCCTCAGGCTATTGGTCGCCGCAAATCCCCAAGGTGTCGTCCGCAATACCTCGAAGCCGGAATTCGGTGGTTGGGATTGGCTTGAGAATCCCCTGAGAACTAGAAATCGGAGAGAAGGCCGTCGGAACTACCAAATCCAAGCCAAACAAGGGGAATCCCAGTTCATCTTCCTTTTCTCACTTTTTCTCTAAGCTCCTTTTGCGGCTTCTTTTTTACAATTGAACCACCAATCCGGAAGAACAGAAACAAAAAAAACAAGTGTTTACGATCCCAGAAAAAAATGGGAAAACCAGAAACGGCGAGATTGAACAACCCTTCTTTAAAAAAAAAGTGGTTACCCCAGAAAATCACCGAGCTCCCCCAAATTCCTTCCCTTCCTTCAGGTGATCCACCCATCCAGTTTCGCGTCGACTGAGGCGCCTGAGGGCGGAGGCCTCCGAGTTTGTGCCTTCCTGGGAGGCGGCTCGGGCGGATCGGGGGGGCGGCGGCGGGTTTTTATTGAAGTGAAGAAAACGGCTCGAAGGCAGGAGCCTTGATGGCGCGGTTCAAGCGTTGACTCTTTGAATATCTATGTATGTATACTGATATATATATATACATATATATATATATATACATATATACATGTATTTGCTCCCCCTGTTTTTGTTGATTGCTTATGTCCATTTACTTCCGCCTCTTTTTTTCAAGGGGACATAATTTCACTTTTGCACACATTCTTTCATTTGTTTTTTCCAGGGGGCGAAAGTTAACAGAAATTTGGGACACCGTTTGGGATCGCCTCAACTTGGTGGTTCAACCAGCCATCCGGTTCCTTCGCTTTTTAGGTTTTCAGGGTTTAGTCGGGTTGCCATAAAACCCACTAAAGGCGAAACTTTTAGCAGGGGATCTGAGGACAGCCCAGTCAAAGAAAACCAGATGGTGTTTCTTGTGTCAGTCCATTTCTCATTCCCTGAGCACCAGCAAGATGACCACTTGGCTTTTTTTGGGGGTCAAGTCAACCAGCGCAAAGGCATGCCTACCCCGGATGCACATGGAACCCCGATTCCTTGACACATCCGCGAAGGAGGTTCCAGCAAATGAGGGGATGGCCCCTTCTCAGCACGAAGCAACGAGCCATTTTGGAGTGTCGTTTAGGACAAGCGATGAGCTGAAAAAAGTCCTTCTGTCAATATGGATTTGTGTCTTCTTGGAGGTCAAAGGTGCAAGAAAAGGAAGAGATGGTTTTCTGTGTGTGTGGCTTCCCTCTCAAACCAACAAACAATTACCGTCAAAAAAAGAAGACACGCGTTCGGTCAATCAATCTGAGCACTGGCCACCGGGCTGTTCGGTCGAATTGGGCAATTCGAAAGAGCCACAAGTGGCAAACAACGGGGTCAGAAGAATAGATTCGACTGGATGCACCAGGTTAAAACCGAGCTCCCCCTCTAAATGCCTTCTCTTCCCAAGGTGATCCACCCATCAAACTCTCCTAGGTCCCAGAGCTATTTGCCCTTTTACCGTTTCTTTTTGGAGGGGGGGTTCAACCCTAAAAAGCACCACAGAAAAACAGTTGGCACCCTTATTCTAACCTCTCTGGAGGACCTGGAATAGATTCGACTGGATGCACGCCCGGTATTGACAACTTCGGATGTTCCGAAGTCAGACGAACCTCAAAAAGACACACACTCAAGGAGTCAAGTTGGAGCTCATGCCATATTCATGCTACTTCACTTGGTGTCAACCGACGCTCATGCCCTTTTTTTATGGCCACCTATGCTGTGTTTGGTGGTGCACAAGTGCATTCCGGCCCTTTTCAAAAGGCATGTTCCGTTCAAAGACAGCCCTGTGCCCTTAAGCCCTTAAGCGACTTGCCACACGTCAAAAGCCAGGAACGGATCGAGCGAGCGACTGGATGTCGCTGGAAGCGTGTGCCCATTGCCCTAAGCTCCCACCAGGATTCCCGACGATGGTTTTTCCCTTTGACCGTTTGCCTGGACCAATCTTAGCAACTCTTCAAGCGCAAGACCTCCAGGTTCAGCTTCAACTACTTGGTTCCATGCCGTTGAAAAAAGCCCATGAGCCAATGAATCACCATGCCTTCAATTTGCTTAAGAATATGTTTTATTTTCCCCTGTTGGTTTTAAAGGGAATCTATCACTACTGGACATATGTGTTTTTTGTTTCTCCCAGGGGGCGAAGAAGCAAATGTAGGATGCCGGTCAAACCTCCGCCAAATTTCACGCACCTTCTTCGAGATCGACGTCCCGCAGGCAGAGTGAGGTTGTGAAAGTGAGCCCAAAGAGGGCTCCGGGGCGTGCCCGCACGGGATTTGCACCATGTCGGAGTTGCCACATTCCTCTACTGCTATTGGGTTGGATCTTTAGACTTCAACTGTATGTATTCCCCTCATATGCCCTTTTAACCAGCAAACACTTTTTGCTGGGGGATCTACAGCACCCAAGATTCACGCTTCTTTCTTCCCAGGTTCATGTGAGTCCGCCGCTTGCCCGGCTTGGTTTTTGGGTGCAAGCCAACAGCCACTTTGGAGCTCTTTTGAGCTTCAGCTACAGGAAATTTTGGCATTTGTGCTTATCATGTTTGTTTTCAATGGCTTGACTACACCTCTATTCAGCCGGACTTTTCCGAGTGGAATCGCCTTCCCGGGGAGTGGATGCATTTTCGGGGGTTGGGCACCCTTTGGAGGCACTGAGGCGGTGTGAACACCGCTACGCTTGAACGTATGTTCCGCGCATCTGAAAACAAAGGCAATCAGCTCATGCTTGTCGGGAATGTTTGCAGGCATGTAATTTGCGTAGGCCGGGCAGATTGAGTTGTGTTTGGACAACAGAAGCCAAACAGCGATGATTTATTTCCAAAATTTCCATACCCCCTTGCTTGACACCCGGAGGGAACTTATTGCAAAAGTGGGCGTCTCTCGGCCACCTTTGCACGAAATGCGAAAAGGACAAAGAGTGACCTCTGAAACGTGCCGTTTTTCTGACTCATGTTATTTTTCAAAATGGTTATAAGGCACCCTGAACGAGAAAATGTCCGATTGACCATTGTGAGCGTCGTTGTCTCATTCGGAGGTGCAGCCCGTCCGAATTCGTTGCACAATGTCCGCCGCACGTAGGCTGAAGCCAGTCGTGGCGGGAGGCTATTGCCTTTGCATTGGGCTGCCTAGAGCTTGTTCTGGCTAAAGCTGGAAACACTTACTGATAATGTTGCCCTCATATGAATCAACCCCAGGTTTTTGATAGTGGGGATGTCCCTACGCGCTTTGACAATTGGCGTTTCCTGACTGACAGTTGGTGAACCGTGCCTTGTTCACACGAGCCATTGCCCGCATTTCTGACAAATACTCAGTTGCTCAGTGGCACCCTTTTGCTCCCTTTTGTTTTAGTGGCTGCCCCACTAAAAATTGTCTTCTTCCCAAAAGATCCCTTTTTTTGCCAGGGTCACTGAACAACTGAGTTGCCCGCATGTCTGCCACAAAGTTAATCGGAGACCATTCCTGGAATCGGACGCAGCTCGCAGAATTCGCGGAGTGCCAGCTGGGCAGGAAGTGCCGACCGAATCTTTGACGCGAGGTTTTAGGATGGACAAAGCAAACTTTGCTCTTTTCCTGGCACGTATGCTCAGTGAAAACACAACACTTATGTTTTTTCCCCATTTGGCGCGTGTTTTCTGATTGCGACGGGTCCCTCACTTTATCACAGCAATCCTTGGATTCTTGATGGGTCCCAGCTTGCCGAGCTTTGCTTACACACGGATTAGAGCCTAAGCTTGTGGAACGCCGGCTGCCGAAAGTAGTGGCAGAAAGCATGCAGGAGGGTTCGTGGTTTTGAGGCCAGTCTCCGGGCGAAAATGCGGAGAAATCCGGGAGCAACATGACCAAGCTGGGATGTTTCATATGAGACGAACTTAGGCCCTCGTGCTTAGTAGGGGCTTTCATTTGTTGAATGGGAAAGAGGCACTTTTGGGGAAAGACCGCCCTATGAATTCGCTAGGTTTAATAGTCCGGGCTCGGCATTGCAAAGGCCATCAACTCCAGGGCGCCATTTCTCAAGAGATGTTTCCCTTGCTCGCACGGCGGCACCTCGCTGCAGCTCGATTGGCTGATTGCATGCCATGTAAGGCGCACCGATGCTTCAACACTGCAGCCCAGAGAAACCCCAGACGCACCTCAATCAATAGGGGTGTTCGCCAAATTAGTTGGCTCTATCCTGGTTTTGAGTATGCGTGTAATTGCAAAGAAGTGCGGGTCCCTTTGCTGCGTCCTGTGTGTTGGTTTGCTTGTTTCCTTCTTTCTTTGTTGTGTTATTGTGTTGTTTTGTTATTTCTGTCTTGTATATGTTTGTTTGTTGTATTTGATTTATGGTGTGTTGTCTGTCTCTATGTGTTTGGTTTTTTCCGTCGTGCTTAATCATCTGTTGTTCTTTGTAGATGTATTTAGTTGTTTTAATGTTTGTTTGTTGTGTGCTTGTTTGTTAGGTATTTGTTTGTTTGCTGTTTTCTTGTTTGATTGCTTGTGTGTGTGTGTGGTTCATTATTTGATTGTTTGTTTGTTTGTTGGCTTGCTTGCTTGCTTGCTTGTTCGTTTGTTTGTTTCATTGTTTGATTGTTTGTCTGTTTGAGCGTGCGTGTGTGTTTGTTTGTCTGTTCGTGTGTTTATTTGTTTGTTTGCTGGTTGGTTGGTTGGTTGGTTGGATTGGTTTGGTTTGGTTTGTTTGTTTGTTTGTTTGTTTGTTTGCTATATTCTTCTGTATTTCTGTGGGTTGTCCTTTTTTACCGTTTGCTCAGCATGTTTGTTCGTTTGTTGTTCTCTATTGATTCAACTGTTAATTTATTTATATGTGGTTCCCTCTTTATTTCTGTGTTTGTGTTGTTGTTATGTTTTATGTATGATTAATTTGTTTCCCTTCTTGATTTCTTCTGTTGTTCCCTTGCTTTATCTTAATCTCTCTCTGTCTTTATTTATTTCTGTCTTTGTTTCCTTCTTTGTTTGTGTGTTTCGTTCTTGCTTTATTTATGTGTTTCCTCTTGATCTTTCTTTACTCCTTTACTCCTTTAGTTCTTTCTTTCTTTCTTTCTTTCTTTCTTTCTTTCTTTTGTTCTTTCGTTCTTTCTGTGCGTCGTGCTATTTATGTCTTTATTTATTTCTTGCAGTCATTCCTTATTTATTTATTGCTTTCTTCATTTTCATGCTTATTTAGTCCGTTTTTATTTTATCCATTTATTTATTTCTGTATGTATGTATTGTGTTATGTATTTCTTTCTTTTTTGCTTTGTTTTAGTCTTGCCTTTGTTCTTTCTTTCCGTAGTTTTTTGTTGCTTTCTGGATTTATGTGTTCATGTTTTTTGTCTTTCTTTCTGTATATGTCTGTAGTTTGTTTTGTATAAACGATATATATATATATATATGTGTATATTTATCTATTTATTAGTTTCTTTCAGTCGTTCCTTCTGTCTTTCTTCCTTGAGTTCTTTGTTTAATAGTGTGTTTATTTGTTGTTTACTTACTTGTTTTTTTTGGTTGTGTTCCCTAGTATTCAATTATTTACGTACAGTTGTCCCTTTCCTTATTTCTGTTTGTTTGTTCCGCTTGTGTTGGTTGACTTGAAGCGCCCAACGGCGTCACGCAACATACAGGGCTTGCTTTGCCACTTTCCCTTTATGAGCCGTTGGCACACTCGAGTGAGGAATGGCAAGTGCGTCTTCACGCTAGGATCTGAAAGGTCCAGCTTTGAAGCCTTGGAATGGGTTCCGAGGTTGATCACAGACTGAAGCACCGCAAAACAGCTGGAAAGGTGTTGGTTTTCTCCTTGCCATGCCGAGTTGGGCCCAGTTCCAAGCTTTCAGATGCTGTTCGGACTTTTCGGACGCTGACAATGAGAGCTAGTGCGCTAGGATACTAGTTGGTTCGGATCATGGCGACACGTTTGACGCAGTGAGTCGGAGAGAAAGAGTGGCTCGGAGCTTCCGGCCGGGCGCAGCGACATCCAACCTCCTGCTTTCTACGAGGGGACAATTAAATGACTACGTGTTACCCAGCAACATTGCTTCAGGTAGTCTTCAAGCATAGCCTGTTGCATTGAACATCTGAGTCAAAACTGGCGAACTCATGTCAGATTTGGCAGGCAGCATTGCGCGCGACAACCCGTCGGCTCGTAGCAATTGGGGACCAGCGGGAGCTCCTTCGCATCAGACGCACGACCCTCCCATCGGATGGCCGGCGAGTTTCTTCGAATGTTTTCCGCAGGTTTCCCCGCAAAACCGCCTGGCAGTTAGTTAATGGACTTGTTGCATTGTAATCAGAGATCGCAAACAGTAACCTCAAGTCAAACACATTTTTCCCGGGTGAACATCTTAAGATTCAAGCCTTACACCTGCAACATTCTGAAGATGAACCGGTTCACGGCTCATGTGCGTTTCGTTGCGCCAGAAGCCTTCGAAAAAGACAAACAGATCATGGCACCGGTTTCCAGGTTGGATCCCTTCGGTTTCGAGCGCGGGCTCTCGTTTTGTTTGGCCATGGCTGCAAGGCGGGGTTAGGGGGGTGGGGCTTGAGCGAAATGGCTCCCAGCAACCTTCCGAGTCCAATTGAAACCCGAAGTGGCGATATGAAACCACCAGTACTGTAAGTGGATCAACTTTTTGCTTTGGGGAAATCCAGGTAAAAAAAAAAAAATGTGTTGGGTGACGCACTTAGCCCAGAATTTGGCAACCCAATTTAGGGAAACACGTCTTCAGCCTGAGGTTAAAGGCTTTAACTTGTAGAAAGTAACCAGGCAAAACGCCATTTAGGAGCTACTGTTGGAAAAATCCGACATGGCATGTCTGCCCACCACAGTCACTTTGAATCTCAGGATAATGTCCAACGTTGGATGTTCACGAACGGCACCCCTTGCCTTCATGGCTATTTGGTTGGATCTTTGGACTATGACTTTTGGGAAACCGAGGTTCTTCCATTGGACTCACAACAAGTCATACATTTTGCAGAGGGGTATCGCCAGGAACCAAGTTGCGGGATGAATCAGAAGGAAACACCTGAGACCCCAAGGGGCTCTCCAGAGCGAATGGAGTCCAGGGTTTCGAGGCTTCCGTTTGCTTCACTTTCTGCTTTGATTGATTTCTTGCTTTTTACCCACACTTTGTCTCCGCAAATGGAGGGAAACCTGAGTTGCGTTGTCCTTGTTTGTGGACCGGAAAAGCAAATTTTGAACATGTAGCCTAGTGTACCATAGAACCCCACAAGTTGTCAAACTGCCGGTGGTAACTTGAATCATTGGGAGCAATTTGGGCAAACTCAACCCTTTAATCCAACAAGATCTTGGATTCGAGTGTCGAAGGATGCGGTCTGGTCCGAGCTCAAACTAGACCTTGTTCGCCCCGGCCAAAACCGGAGAATTTGGGTGCAATTGACTGGGAGCTCGGATTGAATGGGAGCTCGGACCAGTTTCACCATGCCTCGTGTGATATTCCATCAACCGTTGCAGCCTTTTGGCCGCACCGCCCGCACTTTTGACTGGGCCCAAAACACACGAGTTGAGAAACTCGCAGGGGTGTGGAACATGAGGAGAGGGAACCAGGCCCGCAAAGGGCTACTCGATCCCTTGAGGGACCAATTCCGGCAGTTGGCAGCTGGGTTCTCCTATTCTGTTTGCTGTTCAAAGGCCCATCCCGAATCCTCGGGTGACGCCAGGATTTGAGTCCCCCGTGTAGTGGCTTTCCAAGAGGGAAAAAATGACCAACACAGGATTTTGCCCAGCCAAGGTGTCTTGCGTTTTGTCCATCCCAACTGGTGCAACATTTTGCCCATTCAAACATGTGGTCCGATTTGGGTGCCAGAGGTACGATACCGTGCCTATGCATTTTTGTCCGGTATTCAATGTCCCTGGTACTGCTTCATTTTGGGCCGCGCCCAAGAACCTGGTGAGGCTACCTAGTTGCGAAGCAGCAAGCTCCCCTATGGGTAGAGGTGTTTTCTGTGTGCCAACAGTATGTCTTTTTCGGGTATACCTACCCCCTACTCAAAATACCCGCCTTGTTCAGGGTATTTTTGGGAAAACCTGGTTTGCCATGGTAAAAACCTCCTTGTTTCGTAGAGGGTCGACATACCAACTGAAAAACGGCCGGGTATTTTTGGAGTAGGGGGTACCCTGGTATTGAAATCCTGGTAACCTATTTGGGCCCTTTCAGCTCGCTCTCAGCTCAGCCGGCCAGATGGCTCTCAGTGGCACCAACAAGTCCTGG